CCCCATCTTTTATAGTTTCTTCCAGCTTGCTGGAAAGTCTGTGCATGTGACATGGGGGGGTCTTCCCTCATTGGCCAAACATTCTCCATCGTCTCCGTACTCCCTCCAAGGAGGTTTTCTTATGCAGAGTTCCTGTGCTAGTGGATTGTTCCCTGGATGGGTGTTGACGACAGCAATTCACGCTGTCTGGCTACTCCTTTGACGTACCTGAAAGGCTGGTTTTGGGTGTTTCCAACCTCACATCACCCTTTAGTAACTCACACATAGCAGGATTTCATAGCTTCACATACAATGAGAGTGCATACAACCCAAGGGGATATCAATGTTTAGCAGATCAAGACTTTTAGAATGATACCTCACAGGACCTATTTTGTACAGAACATACCATAATTACATCACCATGGTAAATATGGGATGCTTTGGAGTGCAGAGTGTCAGAGGGATGATCCAGAGAGTGATGGGGGTGGGGAGGAGAGGAGCGAGTGAGGGGCGGGGCCTTGAGGGGAAGAGGCAGAGCAGAGGGGGGGGCCTCAGGCTTCCATTTACCAGCAATTAGAAAGGTGGCAACCTTATGAGTTGTACATAGGCAGATTCCCCAGTTTGTCATGCTGACACAGCACACTAAGGTCAGGAAAGGGTTTAATGTCTCTTTGACTGGCCAGTCAGTGATTCAGGGAAGAGGGCCCAGCACCATGTCACCAGCCAGCTCTGCATGGAGCTCGATCTGAGAGCTAGAGAACCAGGAGAAAACTTTAGGTCACTTTATTAGCAAAGAGCTGGAGCAGCCTGTCCCAGATCTGTTGGGTCCTCACCCCATAGATGATGGGGTTTAGCATGGGGGGCACCAGGAGGTACATGTTCGCCATGAGAACGCGCAAATGCAGGGCCACATTGTGCCCAAACCGTTGCGTGAGGGCAGCAAAGAGATGTGGGATGTAAAAGGCTAAGATAACACAGAGGTGGGAGCCGCAGGTCCCAAAAGTCTTCAGCCGGGCTTCCTTCGTTGGGAGGCTGAAGATGGCTCTGAGGATCTGGGTATAGGACACGGTGATAAAAAACACATCCATACCAATTACCAAGAATGCCACAGAGAGGCTGTAGTAACTACTGAGGCTGATGTCAGCGCAGGCCAGCTTCACCACAGCTATATGCTCACAGTACGTGTTTGGAATGATGTTGGTTCTGCAATATGGCCACCTCCTCGCCAGGAAAGGATAGGGCAGTATGAGCATGACGCCGCGCAGCACCACGGCCAGAAAAATTTTGGCAACCACAGTGTTTGTCAGGATGGTGGAATGTCTCAGGGGATCGCAGATGGCCACATAGCGATCAAAAGCCATGGCCACGAGGATCCCAGACTGTATCAAAAAGAAACTGAGAATGAAGTACATCTGGGTGAGGCATGCACTGAAATTGATCTCCCTGGAATAGAACCAGAAGATGCTCAGCATTTTGGGCACAATGGATGTAGACAGGACCAGGTCGGTGACGGCCAGCATGCAGAGGAAATAGTACATGGGCCCGTGGAGGCTCGGCTCCGTCTTCACGATGAACAGGATGGTGAAGTTCCCCAAGATGGCTATGGCGTACATGGTGCAGAAGGGGATGGAGATCCAGATATGGGCTGCCTCCAGGCCAGGAATGCCCAGCAGGATGAAGGTGGTGGGGTTGGTGAAGTCGGTTGAGTTGGAATCTGACATGGTGAAGGGGAGAAGGTGTCCAACGCTGAGGAAGAATGGTGTTTCCTGCATGAACCGTACGTTCCCCTGACTTCCTGTATGTTCCCAGGGTCTAGGGCAATGGTCGCAGGACAAATACCTGGATGGAGAGACAATGTTAATATGAGACACTACATGCACAACTGGAGGATGGTCTCATGGATGAAGCAGATTGGTCGCTCTTCACACACTGAAAAATGACATTTTCATTATTCAGATAAATGAATTATGAACAACTGACCCTCCTAATGCCAATTCCGTATTTTATGGTGTTCCCTTCATCAATAATTCCTACACATCGTGGTGTGGGAAACCTTAACAGGCACCAGCAGAAAACATGGGTGTATACTGGTTATCCCTTATTGTTCTCTAGGCCTTGTCTACACTGCCAAGTTTTTTCATCAAAAGGCAGCATTTGGTGATGAAATAGTAGAATCATAGAATCATAGATTATAGGACTGGAAGGGACCTCGAGAGGTCATCGAGTCCAGTCCCCTGCCCGCATGGCAGGACCAAATACTGTCTAGACCATCCCTGATAGACATTTATCTAACCTACTCTTAAATAGAGGTGTAAACACTACAAAGCCACTTTCGATGACGGAACTCCTCAGTTTCAGTGACATAATAAAGCCGCCTTGACGAGTGTTGGAAGGTTTTTACACAAAATTTTTGTTGCCAAAGTGCCAGTGTAGACACCGTGCTTGATTTTATCACTGTAATTGGCCCATCCCTTTTTCTCCCACGCCCAACGTCCTCCACCCCGGGAACACTGACCATGCTTGCAGTGTTCCCCGGCATGTGTGCTTGTGAAGGATCAGTGGGAAAGTGACTGGTGTGTTACCAGCAGTGTATTTTAATATAGTGTTTCAATGCTGTATGTGTACTTAACAATAATGCTTCTCTTTATTGTTACTTGTGCTTCTCCAGATATGTCCTTGAAAGGAGGCACCCCCTCCACTCCAGCCAAGTGTCTCCGCCGGATAAGAAAGCGCTCAAGATGGAGCAAGGAAGATATTTTCTGGGGTGCTGCAGTACTCTGATGCAGACAAGATAGAATGAAGGCAGTGGAGGGAAAGCGACAAACAGAAAAGAAAATGAGGCATAGACTAGGGATGCAATGGAGAGGCTGATAAAAGTTTTGGAGCGGCAGAACAACATGCTGCAGTCCCTCCTGATGCTTCAGACTTAGCAGATGGGTGCCCGCCCTCCCCTTCAGCACATTCAGAACTCTTTGCCATGTCCTCCCCAAACTCCACCCACACATTCCTTTCCAATTTCTGGGAAGTCTCACTTTACCATTCACTCCACCTCCACAGACACCTTTTCAAATTAAAGCTGGACTTATGCTCAGCTGTGTGTGTGTGCATGCTGTTGTGGTTTTTTTGGCAATAAAAGCAAAGTTATTTGGATAATAAGCACTCTTCATTTGTTTCTGTTGAAGTTATGATAGCAGGTGGCATCAGCAAACAGCAAGCCATTTCATCATTTCTTTACATTGAACCCTGGGCCTGAACAATCACAACTGCTTCCTGCCATACCAAAACTGGACTTCATTATGCATTATAATCCCATGCATAGCAATAAACATTACTCATTCTCATTTTCAAAGTGTTGCCACAAAGCCTTCCTCATTTTGCCCCCCAGGGTGTCCTCTAATAGCCTTGGTATCTGGGTGCTCAAAATCAGCAGCCATGTGTTCTGTCTGAACAGTGCACCCCTGAGCAAACCTTTTGCCCATAGCTTCTGTCATAAACATACAGCTAAGGATAGCATAAAATCCCTTTTTTACCTGTAAAGGGTTAAGAAGCTTAGATAACCTGGGGTACCTGACCAAAAGGACCAAGAAGGGGACAAGATACTTTCAGATCTGTGGGGGAAGGTTTTTGGTATGTGTCTGTCGGAGCCAGCCAGGAAACAGGGCAGGGGAAAATATACCTGAACTAAGCATATAGTCTTGCAGAAATAGTAAGTAATAACAGAAAAGAAATGCGTTAGATTACCTTTTGTTTTAGCTTGTGAATTTTCCCCTGTGCTAAGAGAGAGGTTTATCCCTGTTTTTGTAACTTTAAGGTTTTGTCTAGAGGGGAAATCCTCTGTGTTCTTGAGTCTCTTGTTATTCTGTTAAGTACTTACCATCCTGATTTTACAGAGGTGATTCTTTTACCTTTTCTTTAATTAAAATTCTTCTTTTAAGAACCTGATTGATTTTTCATTGTTCTTAAGATCAAAGGGTTTGGATCTGTGTTCACCTGTAGCAATTGGTGAGGATATTAGTCTCAAGCCTCCCCAGGAAAGGGGGTGTTGGGGCTTGAGGGGATATTTGGGGAAGGTTGGGTTCCAAGTGGCCCTCCCTGAATGTTTGTTTAAATCACTTGGTGGTGGCAGCATACTGTTCAAGGTGGAATTTGTGCCTTGGGAAAGTTTTTAACCTAAGCTGGTAAAAATAAACTTAGGGGGCCTTTCATGCAGGTCCCCACATCTGTACCCCAGAGTTCAGAGTTGGGAAGGAACCCTGACACCTTCACAAATATTATACAAGGTGGAACACATGGCTACAACCATGGGAATATTTTCTTCATTGAGATCTAACCTATCAAAAAGGCATCACCAGTGTGCTTTTAATCTGCCAAATGCACATTCCATGGTCATCCTGCTCCTACTCAGCCTATTGTTGAAATGCTCCTTTCTGCTATCCAGGTTTCACTTCTACGGCTTCATGAGCCCTGCCATTGAGGGGTATGCCAGGTCTTCCAGGATCACTATGGGCATTTCAAGATCCCCTGTGGGGATCTTCTGGTCTGGAAAGAAAGTCCCCACTTTCAGTTTTCTGTAAAGGCCGGTGTTCCTAAAGATTCATGCATCATGCACTTTTCTGGGCCACCCTGCCCTGATTTCAATGAAACACCCAGAATGATCCTTGAGTGCCCGCTGCAGCATGGAGGCTGGTGTATGCAGACAGACTGAAAAGTCTGGGACTGTTTAGTTTAGAGAAGAGACAAATAAGGCAGCATAGGATAGAGGAGAACAAAATAAAAGTATGGAACCAATTACATTCAAATGGACAAACAGAGAACAGCTCCCAACCAATAATATCTATCTACAGATACCCTTCAAAAGGGCTAATTCCCCAAAGCTGAGGCAAATTATCAGCAAAACTGATTGGGAGAAAATTTAGACAGAAAAATGGGAATGAAACTTTGGAGTTCTTTAAGAAGAGTTTATTAGAGAGCTAAAAGGCCACAATTCCACAATCAAGAAAGTGGAGAACTTTGGTTAAAAACCCAGTTCAGTAGCAAAGTGAAGGCAGCAATTAAGGGGGGAAAAGCAACATATAACAAATGGGAAAAAGGGAAAATAGATAGCAAGCAATACAAATTGAAAGTTATGAAAATTGATACGGGATGTTACAGACATCAGGGGGAAATTCATGCTTTGCAGGGCTAAGGAGAACAAAAAGGAGGTTATTAAGTATATTAAGAAGAAAAGAAATCCTAGAAAAGGTACAGGCCAATTCCTAGAGGGAGAAAGGAAACTTGTTAATGTTGCAGAAAAGGTAGATGTAACTATAGGCCTGTTAGTTTGACATCTGTAGTATGCAAGGTCTTGGAAAAATTTTTGAAGGTGAAAGTAGTTAAGGACATTGAGGTCAATGGTAATTGGGACAAAATACAACATTGTTTTACAAAAGGTAGATCGTGCCAAACCAACCTGATCTCCTTCTTTGAGAAGGTAACAGATTTTTTAGACAAAGGAAATGCAGTGGATCTAATTTACCTCGATTTCAGTCAGGCATTTGAGACGGTTCCACATGGGGAATTATTAGCTAAATTGGAAAATATGGGGATCAATATGAAAATTGAAAGGTGGATAAGGAACTGGTTAAAGGGGAGACTACAACGGGTCATACTGAAAGATGAACTGTCAGGCTGGAAGGAGGTTACAAGTGGAGTTCCTCAGGGATCGATTTTGGGACCAATCTTATTTAATCTTTTTATTACTGAGCTTGGCACAAAAAGTGGGAATGTGCTAATAAAATTTGTGGATGAAACAAAGCTGGGAGGTATTGCTAATACAGAGAAGGACCGGGATATTATACAGGAAGATCTGGATGACCTTGTAAACTGGAGTAATAGTAATAGGATGAAATTTAATAGTAAAAAGTGCAAGGTCATGCATTTAGGGATTAATAACAAGAATTTTGGTTATAAATTGGGGACACAGTTCGAAGTAACAGAGGAGGAGAAGGACCTCGGAGTATTGATTGATCACAGGATGACTATGAGCCCCCAATGTGATATGGCCATTAAAAAAGCTAAGGCGGTCTTGGGATGCATCAGGCGAGGTATTTCCAGTAGATATAAGAAGGTGTTAGTACCGTTATACAAGGCACTGGTGAGACCTCATCTGGAATATTGTGTGCAGTTCTGGTCTCCCATGTTTAAGAAGGATGAATTTAAACTGGAACAGGTATAGAGAAGGGCTACTAGGATGATCTGAGGAATGGAAAACCTGTCTTATGAAAGAAGACTCAAAGAGCTTGGCTTGTTTAGCCTAACCAAAAGAAGGCTGAGGGGAGAGATGATTGCTCTTTATAAATATAGCAGAGGGATAAATGTCAGGGAGGGAGAGGAATTATTTAACCTTAGTACCAATGTGGACACAAGAACAAATGGATATAAACTGGCTATCAGGAAGTTTAGATTTGAAATTAGATGAAGGTTTCTAACCATTAGAGGAGTGAAGTTCTGGAACAGCCTTCCAAGGGGAGTAGTGGGGCCAAAAGACATATCTGGCTTCAAGACTAAGCTTGATAAGTTTATGGAGGGGATGGTATAATGGGATAGCCTAATTTTGGCAATTAATTGATCTTTGGTTATTAGCAGGTAAATATGCCAAATGGTCTGTGATGGGATGTTAGATGGGGTGGGATCTGAGTTACTACAGAGAATTCTTTCCTGGGTGCCGACTCTTGCCCACATGCTTAGGGTTTAACTGATCGCCATATTTGGGGTCGGGAAGGAATATTCCTCCAGGGCAGATTGGCAGTGGCCCTGGAGGTTTTTCGCCTTCCTCTGCAGCGTGGGGCACGGCTCACTTGCTGGAGGATTCGCTGCACCTTGAGGTCTTTAAACCACGATTTGAGGACTTCAATAACTCAGACATAGGTTAGGGGTTTGTTACAGGAGTGGGTGGGTGAGATTCTGTGGCCTGCGTTGTGCAGGAGGTCAGACTAGATGATCATAATGGTCCCTTCTGACCTTAAAGTCTATGAGTCTATGAGATGTGTTCAAGAAATATTTTTGTTCTGCATTTGGAAAGAAGCAGTACGAGGTACTTATATCACACTCGGTGATGAAACACTTTCCAGTCCATTAGCAGTCAAGGAGGATGTTAAACAGCATCTACAGTAGAACCTCAGAGTTACAAACCCCAGAGTTACGAACTGACGGATCAACTACACATCTCATTCGGAACCAGAAGTAGGCAATCAGGCAGGAGCAGAAACCACCACCACCAAAGGCAAATACAGGACAGTTCTGCGTTATATGTAAACTATTAAAAAATAAAGGGAAAGTTTAAAAAAAATATTGCAAGATTAGGAAACAAGGAAAAGCTGATACGGGATAAGTTAAAAAAAAAGTCTAGGAGTAAAATTAATGCCAGTCCATGGTTTATGGAAAACAGGTCTTGTCAAATAAATCCGATTTCATTCTTTCATGAGAGTACACCTTTGGTTGATCAAGGGAACCAAACAGATGCAATAGACTTTGATTTCTCTGAGGCATTTGATTTAACAGGGGAAAGCATTCAGTTAAAAAACGAACACTATACAATATCAGTGGAGCATATGTTAAATGGACTAAAAGCTGGCTAACTGACCAATCTCAGAAAGCAGTTGTCAATGGGCCATTGTCAGTGAATGGGGGTGTTTCTAGTGGGGTTCTGTAGGGTTCAGTTCTAAGCCAAATGCTATTCAATTTTTTCATCAATGATCTGGAAGCAAATAGAAAATCACTGCAGGTAAAATTTGCGGACGACCCAAAGCTTGGCAGAGTGGTTACAATGAGGTGGCCAGAGCAGGCATACCGATTGATCTGGAGCATTTGTTGAGCTGGGCCCATGCAAACAAAATGTTTTAATACAGTCAAATACAAAGTGATCCTGTCAGAACAGGGAATGCAGGCCCGACCCCCAGGCTAGGGCACTGTATTATGGAATGCAGGGATCGTGAAAAGGATTTAGGGGTCATTGTGGAGAACGAATTAATCATAAGGTCCCAGTGCGATGCTGTGGCCAAAAGGGCTAATGCGATCCTTGGATGCATAATCAGGGGAATGCTGAGTTGGAGCAGGGGAAGGATTTTACCTCTGCACATGGCATTGATGAAACCGACTGCGCCAAGTTCTGGGTTCCACATTTCAAAAAGGATGTTGAAAACTGGAGAGCGTGCAGCAAAAAAACACAAAAATGATTGGAGACTGCAGAAAATGCCTGACAGAGAGAGAGATTTAAAGAGCTTCATCTATTTATCTCATCAAAAAGACAATCAAGCAGAGACTTCCATGGGGAGAAAACCGGGGGTACTAATGGGCTCTGTAATCTAGATTAGAAAGGCAGAGGAAGACCCAATGGCTGCAAGCTGAAGCCAGACAAATTCCAATTGGAAATAAGGGCCAAATGTTTAGCACTCAGGGTGATTAAGCGTTGGGACAAACTGCAAAGGGAAGTGGTGGATTCACCAACTCCCCATGTCTGTAGATCCAGACGGGATGCTCTTGTGGAAGATCTGCTTGAGGGCTTGTCTACACTTAAAACACTACAGCAGCGCTGCAAAGCGCTTAAGTATAGACACTACTTATATGGATGACAGGGATGCTCCTGTCAGCGTAGGTAATTCACCTCCCCGAGAGGTGGTAGCGAGTTGATGGAAGAATTGTTCAATCAACCTCATGCTGTTTACACCGGGGTTAGGTTGATATAGTGACAGCTCTCAGGGGTGTGGATTATTTGGCTGTTGCAAAAAAAGCAAATGCAATTTTGGGTTGCATTAACAGAGGCATAGCACGCAAGTCGTGGTAGGTGATAGTACCACTCTACTCAGCGCTGGTTAGGTCTCAGTTGGAGTGCTGTGTGCTTTCTTCACCGCTGTGTGGAAAGGATGTAGAGAAACTGGAAAGGATTCAGAGATGAGCGACAAAGATGATCCAAGGGATGGAATGCAAACCGTATGAGCAAAGGCTGAA